GGGGATCTTGCTTCTGTTTAAAAAGTATGTCTTGACAACTACACTTGAAAAGCAAAACACTGTTCATTAGAATTTACCAGAATTCAAGTTGTTCATACAACTGCTGATGCCATCCTAGGGTGTTATGTTTAGCTCAGAGAGATCCCGGTATTTCTATTGCGTGGTAAAGCATTTAATGGATGCCAAATCAAACTCTTAACCTTTCTGCACTTCAGCAGAAAAGTAAACTAGATACCGGGAAACAGAAACAAACCTTTCTGATAAATACGTGTTTGCTTTGCTAATATGTTGGAGTTTTTTTTCCCCCCAACACTAACGTAAAGCAAGAACAGTAGGTAAGTTGGTGTTGGTTTTACCCAGATGAGAACTACTTCTACTCTGATCATGTAGTATAAGAATGATCATAGTAGGTGAGAGAAAATGCCCATCCAACCCAATACCTCATCTGTGGCAGTGCCCAACATAGCATGTCAAGCAAAGAGCTGAGCAAGCACAAAGTGATAATTCTGAAGAACACTCTCCTATACTCCACAAATATGTGGCTTAGTGGATCTTGATGTGATGTCTTTGAGTTCACTATTTCTATGGCTTTGTTGTTGCTGTTGTTTTTTGTTATTGTTATTAAGTTAAAAGGGCATACGGATCATGGTTGCAGTCAGTATGGAGAAGAAGCAAACTTAAAACACAAGTTAAAAGACCTTGAAGACTGACCAATTTCATTCTCTTCATGACTTTCTGTTTTAGCTCAGATGTTGCCAGCAGATGAGCTTCCTCTTAACTGCCCCTTTTTTTGCCCTTTGTTGTTGCTGCTAGTGGACTATGAGTGTGACAGCTTCCTCTTAAAGAAGTGAAAGGGAGATGGAAAGTGGAGCACTGACTGGGAGAGAGGGGAGAGAAAGAAAGCGGGACTTGAGGATCATAAAGGGAGAATAGCTAGAAAGAACGAGTGAGGAGACAATGCAGATACGTTTCAGAGGGAAGTGGGTATGTATGAATGAGTGAGGAAGCTGAGAATGCGTGTGAGGTAGCAAGTGGAAAAATGAATAGGATAATATATCTGTTTGTACCTCCAGATCCTGGAGGTAAACTAGATTAAATACAACTAAAGATACTGGCTGGCCTTTGTGACTGAAAGAGTCAAACAACTTGGTATAAAGAATTCCTTTCTATACTGTTCTGGGCAAACCATGGAAAGGACGTCATGCTTCTGAATTTTATTTGTCTTGGAGGTGGTGCGCGGACATCCTTGTATCTCAGAGTCTCCTTTAAATGACATTGCTTGCTGGAGTTTAAGAAAAATTTCTGTCTCTAGTCAGCTTTGATCCCTCCCTTCTGTTTGATGACTGCTGTTCATTCCATTAACACTGTGACTGCTGTCCTAAAACTAGCAGAGCAGTGGCCATGCTACTACAGAAATAACTAGCAAAACCCCAGTTTCAAGCAGTTGTCTATTTCCTTTAAGCTTCATAAATAGCACAGGTAACCTTAGATGCCTATTACCGTTCTCTCTCTCCTCTCTTCCGTGTCTTTATATTACCTTTTATCTCTAAGAATTCTCATGTTTCATGTTTGTACAGCACAGCAGAGAGTAATTCTATGCCATTCTACTACAAGCACCGCCATGGCTTAATAAATATCTAGATAAATAATAATAGGACAATGCAGAGAGATATAAACAAAACGAAACCTCTAATCTAGTTTGGCAAAGCTCGTATGTGCATATTTCAAAGAATTTATTCAGACCATAGTATATTATAGTGCCCAGCACAGGAAAATCCTTGTCCATGTGAGTGGGGTTCTTAGCTGTTAGGGTAACACTAACACCAAAGCAAGCATTTAGTTTATTCTGAAATGCATATGTTCTTAAGTGACCTTTCTGAATAAGTATGTGGAATGGAATTGGGTATTAAGTGGAATCTGATTTACAGACATAAGTAATCCCAGTTGTTCCAACACAGCCACTCATGAGTTTAGAGTTTCATAAATTCTCAAGAACGTTGCCGAGTTGACAGCTAAGAACCAGTACCCCATAGCCCCAAAACTGAAATGTTCTTAACGAAATGCAATCAGAAAACTAGAAAAAAACCCACAGACAATGGAGGGGGAAAAAAAAGAAAAAACAGAGAGAGACAGAGTAGGATCGCCCTTTCCTTGCTACTCATTCCCTCCTATAAAGGAAATTACTCATGCTGTTGCATGATTTTTACAGAAATATTTCAACCACAACTCTGTCCTTGTTCTGTGTTCCTGTAGCTTTCATATGGCTTCCAAACAGACTGTCTTGATTACTTATATTGATCTTTTCATCAGAAAGTACATTTTTGATGAGGATTTAATTTATCTACCAGCAATTATTTTACAAAGCTCTGATCTGTCAGCATGTGCATTGTGTTGGGGTAGAGCCAAGACCACACCTCAATGACATTTTTAGGCACAAGGCTGAAGGTAACATAACTCATCCACAATGGCAGTCTCTGTCTGACTGTTTGCTCTGTATGGATTCAGTTTGTGTGACACCTGTTAAATATCTAAGCCTTTGTCAAAATGAATAGGAGACTTATTATCAGGGATAAAATGGCAACTACTCTCAACCTTTGCAGAACTCGAGGGCAAAGCAGTTTTTCCAGTTAGAAGGAGGACTTTTCCTGCTACCAGCAGCTAATGGTGTCACACACATGGATAGAAGTGGAGGACCCTGAAACAACCTATCATGAAACCAATTTCAGTAAAATAAGCAACTGCCACCGCCCATAACGCACCAATGTTAATACTAGAGGGACCAATCCTTTCTGCTGGGAACAATTCCTCAAGACCCAGGAGCCTTCCTGGGATGTATTTACAAGTAAAATACTGACTACTTGTTTAGAATTTGTCTACATGGTTGTTGCATATGTATGCGTCTTATACACAGTGTAGAGACATGTAAATGTAACACTACAGTATGCTCTACTTGAAGTAACAAAACAATGTTGCACCAGTACAGCTAGTGGGAGTGAGTCCTACAAGTCTCTTTTACATCTAGCAACATACATATGTTACAGTAGTAGTACTAATTGTTTGGAGTGACTATAGTGGAATAGAAGTATATGGAGAAAGCAAGCCTTTAAACATACCACTAAAATAATGGAGGATTTTTCTTCATGTCAATGATGCAAATGTTTTCCTGAAGCTGACTGTGGGCCAAATTCTGCCCTGACTGTGCAAATCCAGTCCTCCTGGCTTCAGCTGAATGGGCTAGGAGAGTAGGATTTGGCTGGATTTCACCACTTCCTTAGGTAGACTTACTTATCTAAGAAATAACTCACTGATGGCAAAATATTTAGTTGCCTTTTTTTGAAGCTGACTGGAGGGCTTCTGTGCCAAAAAGCTTGCCTAATTTTTCTAATAAAAAAGTCAATAAAATATTATCTCTGCCTACAAACCTTATAATACCTGTGACCTTTGTTTAAGAGAGAGAAGGCTGGATGGACTTCAGAGAAGTAATAGTACAAGTAGCTCCAGATTGATTACTGAAAATAAGAGGAAAAGGTTTGGTTGAAATAGCAAAGAACAATAGACAACAAATCTGTACTTTCTGTGTAGATCCTTTCCCCTTTGGGATCCTTGTGCACTAACCACAGAAAGTACTCTTAATGTGAGAGTTCATAAATATATCCATGCAGATTGCCTAACAGAGCTGAAATATCTGAGTCACATGCTAGATGACACAAAACTTTTTTGGAGAAAAGAACAAAATAACCTGTTGTCTCAAGCAAAACACTCTGTTTAATATTGTATTGTACAGAAGTTTAAGTTTGACAAGATAGACCAGTGTTGTTCAATGCAACTGCTGATAGGTCAATAAATCAAATGCATAACTGTGAAACTTCCTGTGTAATTTTGAAAGCAGCTAGCTATATTTTCTGGAGACTAGTAACATAGTTTCTTCAGAAGAGTGAAAGCTTATGGATTTAATTTAAAATATAAATACGCGTTATTGTTTAAAAATAATATGCTTAAAATACTTATTTCAAAACATATTTAAGAAAACATATATATGTCAGTAAACAAAATGAAACAGTCAGTAGCCTATATCATGTAACAGAAGAAATGCAATATAATCATCAGTGCAAATATGCATTAAGATGCATGACACACTGGATATTAAGAATGAAACAAAGAATAAATAACAAGACAGAGTCAAAAAATATAAGTGAGGATGGAATTGCTCTTCCAGTAAGGTGGCAAACAGGCTGTCCTTGCCTACATTCTGCTGTTTCCTTGTAAGCGACCTGTTTGATCTTGACAGTCATTACTTTTGCAGTCAGGATACCTGAGTTCATTGGTATGACACATCAGATTCTCAGCAGTGCCAGACCACAGTTTGGCACACCTTACGGAGAGGAATATGTACAGCTTTGAGCATAATTGTCCTGATTCAGCCCATTGTCTAAATTAACAGAATCCTCAGCCTTGCCTGAAGGCCCTGTAAACAGAGCAGAAATGTGCACCAGGCAGAGACAGGGGAGCATCTACTAAGGCACACAGATGGCTCTAAAATGCGGTATCTGTGCAACTTTGCTGTGCCAGGCAACCAGGATCAACCAGCAAAACTTGCTGATAAAACCAAAGAGATTGGGCAAAAGATACACTTTCAAAAATCAGCTCGAGACATTTTTCTCTCTTCTCTTTTAACATTTAAAAAACCTAAAACTGTACCAAATGCCAGTGATGTTAGAAACTGGACTTTATGGAAAATGGTGGGGTAGCTTGCCTTGTTCACCTGTATATAAATACTGTGTATTTATACCACGTGTATAAATACTGCATGGTGTGTGCATTGCCACAGAGGATATAGGAGGGAGCTAGGGCACTGCTGTGCCCCGGCTGCAGGGGCCAAGGGAGGCTGGCCCTGGGGCTGCAGCCGGGCCAGGGCAGCCCTACCGGAGCATGGGGGGCTTTGAGGGACAGTTTGCCACCAGTGCTTTACATGTAATCTCAGGTATGAGTTAACAGGTTACCTTGCTGAGGCGGCTTAGCTTGCGCTCCACTAAGTCGTTTCAGGGCGGAAAGCGTGTGATTTCGTTTGTGGTGCCTGCTTGCGTGAGAGGGTGGGGTTGTTCTGCCCCAAATTCCTGTCGGGGGAAAAAAAAAAAGGAACTATTAAAAGAAAGGGTGAAACAAAAGTCCCAAGGCTTTCAGGCACAAGTTTTGGTTGCTGTCCCAGTAGCAGAAATGCAACAACCTTGCCAAGTCCTCTCAGAATAGGTTTGCTGAAGAGGTAGGAGTACTGCACTGCAGGTACATACCTCACTGCCTTTCTCCCAAAGAAGTGGTGATGATGGTGAATTGCCATCTCTGGAGCTGCAGGCGCCCTCCATGCATGGTACAAGGCGCTGCCCGGGTGGTGCCAGTAATCCCTCTATCTGGGGGGCTGTGCTGAGATAAACTATGCCCGGCAGCCCCTGTGAAGAGCTGCACTTTCTCTGGGAGGCAGGTGACACTTTGCATTCTGGTGGATGTCATCTCTGGGGGCTTTACCCAGCCTCGATGACAGCCAGGGAGCATGACACACCTCAGGCCGGCCACCTTAGCTGCTCAGCTGCCAGCTACCCAGGAGCAAAGTGTTTCCCACTGCTGGTGCCCTGCATCCTGTGGTGGTCCTGTAGGTTTAAGATGGCGTACCTGAAGGCCACCTGGGGAAGGGAGTCCTCTCTCTGTTGTATTTCTCAATATTTCTCAGGTGGACATTCCTGGAGCTTGGTGAGTTTGGAGTTAGACCTTGGGAAGGACACAACCTCCTTCTGCCAGGCCCCTCACAGCTCCTGTGCTGCCACCCTTTTGCAGCATTATCTTCAGTGGTTTGTGACAGCCGTGGTGGCGTTTTGAGTGGGAAAAGCTCTCTGAAGGCAGTGGGTGGTTGTTCTCTTTCCTCACTCCCAAAATGCTCTTATATCATGGATGAACAGGTTGTGGCACATTCAGATAAATTTGTTTCATCCTGTACTGTTTACTCTGAGCCCTTGTAAAAGGAGTTTTCAAAGAGCAGTGTGGGGCACAGTGTGGTTTGAGTCTTTATTATTTAATGGCATTTGTGACTAAATTATGTGTGAGAAATTATTTGTAATACATTACATTAATTCTACCTTTGATATAAGCTTTTAAAAAGCACAGTCGCCAGGATTGAAGCAATTTGCTACCGGGAGGCTTTAGTACGTACAGTTTCCAAATGGTTAGCTTGGCCACATCACCAGATCAGATTAATCTCAAATTGCTTAAAGTGAATTGACAACTTGAAAAAATAAACCTGCCTTTAGAAAGATGGCCTCTTCTTTATCGTTGCTATCATAAATGCAAGAAAGATTGTAATCCTCATGCTTTGCTTTGTGTTTAATTCCCAGCATACGAAGGCCTGATGCTCCTGTCACATGTGCTAGAAAAATCATGGAATAACACCAGTGTGGCCATACCAGAGTAAGTGAACCAAGGTAGGAGAAAGTCTCTGTCTCTCTCTAGTAACATTTATCTATTTATTCATTTCTAACCCTTGTGTGCTGCTCAAATGTGCTTCCTCAATTGGGTAAGTGAGGTGTGCTTAGTGAGGCATTTGGGATGTTCAGTAATTTTTTCAGTTGGGGCAGAGGAACTGTAAAAAAGTCTCCAAGCCATTTTCATAGTTTTCTGAAAGTCTCAGAGATTAGTCACAGCACATATTTGTATTTTCCTGTGAGATAAGTTGAGATCCTGCTATCATGTCCACTGTAGTTACATCAGTGTAATGCTGACAGGTTTTTCTGTGTCTCTTGGAGTGCAGGCTAGCTTTGATGGCCTTGTGGCTTAGGATTGCTGTTCTGTGTGAATTTCTGCTTCGGCAGTGCAAAAATGGCTTCTTTGATACTGAGGTAGAAGAGTTCGTGAGCTTTGCCAGGTTTGCAGGAGTTGAGCAGACCTGAGCTATTCTTCGCCCCATCCCTGCGGTGTACTCCAAGCCTGGAGAGGTGAGAAGGGGCGGATTAGAGTAGATCATGTAGTCTTTTAATCAGCTGAAGTCTTCCTTGTGCCAAATAAGTGGCTGGCAATTTAAATCAATTTTATAGTGCAGTTGTGTCACAGGAGAACTTGCAGGAGTTTAAGTATAAACAAAGATTTGGCCCAGCTTTTTGCACAAATAAATCTCTACATTTAACGTATAAAGGCAATCTGTAAGATCAAGTATTCCCATGAGATGCAGTTTTTTATTGTGTTCTCTCTGCTCCCTGGCTTTTTTAGTGATCCCACAGAAGTCTCCTCTCTTTTCCAGGGTGTGATTCAGCAGTGACTGTGCTGGTTTTACATAGACACAACTGAGGCCTTGGTTGCCCTCTGCTATGGAAGGGCTTCTTTTCATGGGTGAGTCCTTGCACTGAAGGAAAGGCACATGTGAATCCGTGTGGTCTGATGGCTGACTGAAGTTCATACGCTTTTTGGTAGCATTCCTCCTTTTCCCTCAAGCCCACTGTTCCTCTCACAAAGATAGTGACATAGAGGAATTATTCAGGAAAGAATTTAAAAGCAGATCTAATAAATCAATGGTAAGCTAACATGGCAATGGGCTATTCTTTGTTTATGTAAAAAGCTGGATTTTGTGAATTTTCTGCTAAATGTTTGTATTCTGCTAGAAAGCTTGCTTCAGAAATGCCTTTTCCTCAGGACCTCCAGCTTGCTAAGTTGAAACAAAATTGTGGGCTACTCTGTTATTTCCGGTTAGTAATTGCTCTGAATTAACAGACTATGTGTGTGAAGCCTCTGGTGCTAACCATTTCAGACTGAAGATAAAAGATAAATGGGAGGTAGGATTGTTGATGAGTTTGTCCTATATATAACTTTGCCAGTCTGTACACATGTATATATAAATAAATATAGAATCTATAACAACATAATATACATTTATAGTGACTAACAAACTTTTTTTTCTTTTTGACCTGGTTTGCCTGGGATAGAATTAATTTTCTTCCTAGTAGCTGGTATAGTGCTGTTGGATTTAGTATGAGAATAATGTTGATAACACAGTGATGTTTTAGTTGTTGCTAAGTAGTTCTTACACTAAATCAAAGACTTTTCAGCTTCTCATGCTCTACTGACTGAGAAGGCTAGAGATGCACAAGAAGCTGGGAGGCGGCACAGCCAGGACAGCTGATCCAAACCGGCCAAAGGGATATTCCATACCATATGATGTCATGCTCAGTATATAAACTAGGGAAAAGCTGGCCGGGGGGCCACTGCTTGGGAACTGGCTGGGCATTGATTGGTGGGTGGTGAGTAATGGCATCATGCATGACTTGCTTTGTATATTCTATTATTATTATTATTATTATTACTATTTTATTTCATTTCAATTATTAAACTGTTCTTATCTCAACCCATGAGTTTTCTCACTTTTAGTTTTCTGATTCTCTCCCCCATCCCACCACAGAGGGGGGAGTGAGCATGAGGCTGTGTGGTGCTCAGTTGCTGGCTGGGGTTAAACCACGACACTTTTATAACAGCCCAGAGTATACTGGAAATCTGAGAATGGTTTAGGTTGAAAAATTACTTCTGATGGAATCTCAACTGAGATTGAAAGACTGTTTTTTGAAATACTGGTCATTAAAATCCTGTCTAGGATTACTGAGGGATGGATTATATTAATCACATATCTTCCTTGCTAAAGGTAAAAGTTTTTTACATGTCTCTGTTAGATCAAGTGTACTGTGACAACTTCTCTATTATGAATGTTATGCAACTGCATAATCACACATAACATGTGATTTAGTACTGTTTTGCATTATCTTCAGTCAACACAAATTTAGTGCAATTATAATGCTCATTTCCTGTAAAATAGCAGATATCTGAATAACGGACCCAAATTTCCATTAGTATGAGGTCATAAAGCATTCATAGAAAAGCAAGTGATAGAACTGCATCAGGTAGAATAATCTAATTCTCCAGAATACAGAGCAACCACCAGCTAATGTGAATAAAAAAGTTAGTTCTGCTGTGGCAGGAGGTCATTCCATGATGGTGTTTATTATGCCTTTTGCACAGATTCTATATCACCTACTCTCATATTTAGTCTGTGAATTCTCACATTGTGCATGTGTTGCAGTTGGCAGTCGTGCCTCAGTAGGTGTGACATTGAGCAATGCGATAAAGCTCAGTTTGGGCCCCAAACCTCCCTAGAGATCAGCTAAAGTGGAATGAGAGGTTTTGACTGGCTCCTTGCTGAGTGAGGGAACAGCTGCAGAGTCCACATCTGATATTCTCCAAAACTTAGGCCAGTTCCAAATTTGCCTTGGAATCAGGCTCCCCTCAAATATTTCTGGCATTTATTTTTTTGAAGTCAATGAAAACCAATAACAGCCATGGGGATATCCTTGCAGTTAAACTGGTGCAAGTACAGAAGCAGTGATTTAGTTTCAGGATTGGCTACTAGACTTGTACAGTTGTCACAGCATTTTGTGAGACTTAGTGCATGAGATGTCCATAATTCCTCATGTTTAATGGCTTCATTTTTGACTGCCTGGACAGCCTTTTCTTTCTTAAAACAGAGGGAAGCAAAAGTGGAATTTTATTTGCAGGAATGGCTGTAACAGCAGGAGAGGAGTTAGCAGACAGAAAGTTTCTGTCTAGTTAAAGGATTTTAACTGTGTGAATAATTGTTAGGAACAACAATTATTGTAACAGTGCAAACATTTGCTGGTTCCTTATAACCAAATTATGGTTATAAATAAGAATTATAATGAACGCCGAAAGAAATGAGAGACTCAAGAAGGAAGATAATTTATGAAACAGTAAGGAGCAAAAGAAAATGTGACAGTCATGAGCACTGCATCATTTGCAAAAATGTACTTTCCATGCATTTATAATTGTTTTACTATTACATTAATAATGTTCAAATAGAACTAGTCTCCTGTTCTATTATAAAACTCTGTTTTAAATTGGCTGGTTGCAACAGAGGTGGTCTTTTTTTGCAATGGTAGAACTAAACCTATTGAAGAGGAAGAAAGCTCCCTCCTTTGAGTTGGGTTTTGCTATTATCAAGTGTGGTTTCCATTCTTGAGTTGTCTTTTATCAGCTCTGATCCTGGGTTGTGCCACAAACAATCCTAAGTCTTTCC